GCGGCTCGGCGGCAGGGCGGCTCGGCTGCTGGCGGCTCGGCTGCTGGGCGGCTCGGCGGCTCGGCGGCTTGGCTGCTGGGCGGCTCGGCTGCTTGGCAGGTGGGCGGCTCGGCTGTTGGGTGGCGTGGCTGCTGGGCGGCTTGGCTGCTGGGCTGGTGGGCAGCTCGGCTGGTGGGCTGCTCGGCGGCTCGGTCGCTGGGCGGCTGAGCGGTGACAGGGTCGGTAGAGGCGGCGACGTGGCCGCTAGGGGAGGGCGACGGGGCCGCAGGTGACGGCGACGGGGCCGCAGGTGGCGGCGACGGGGCCGTAGGTGGCGGCGATGGGGCCACGTGTTGCGGCGGGGCCGCAGGTGGCGGCTGCGTGGCCGCAGTTGGCGGCGACGGGGCCACTGGGTGGCGGCGACGGGGCCGCAGGTGGCGGCGACGGGGCCGCAGGTGGCGGCGACAGGGCCGCAGGTGGCGGCGATGGGGCCATTGGTGGCGGCGACGGGGCTGCAGGTGACGGCGATAGGGCCGCAGGTGGCGGCGACGGGGCCGCAGATGGCGGCGACGGGGTCGCAGAAGGGCCGCAGACGGGCCGCGCGGGGCCTAGACGGGGCCGAAGAGGGGCCGCAAGGGGCCTAAACGGGGCGGCGACGGGGTCGTAAGGGGCCGAAAGGGCGCCGCGAGGGGCCAAAAGGGGGCCGCGCGAGGGCCGTAAGGGCGGCGCGAGGGGCCGTAAGGGGCCGTAAAGGCAGTGCGAGGGGTCGTAAGTGCGGCGCGAGGGGCCGTAGAGGGCGGCGCTATGGGCCGTTAGGGCGGCGTAAAGGGCCGTGAGAGGGGCCACTAAGGGCGGCGCGAAGGTAGGGAGGGCACACAGAGTGCGACTCGGGCAGGAGTGAAGCGCGCTCCGGGCAGGAAAACAAATCGTGGTGGGCCCTAGGTAGCGTTCCCACTTGGGAACCTGCTCCGATACCATGAGAATAAACGAGGAATGAATGCATTGAGCAGAATGAGGAGTACAAGTAGTAAACCCTAAAGTGTTGTACCCCATATGAACTGCCCCACTACAGCCTACACACACTACAGCATATATGCCTGACAGGATATTGGTCCCTGGGATCGTTCCGAGCACTAGGGTTGGCTCGCGCGGCTCGGGGGCAGGTCCGTAGACGGTCCGGCGTGGTGTGGAAGGCTCGTTACCCCAGTCGATGGTGTCCCAGGGGTCGCGTTCCGGCTGTAAGTCAGGCGGAGGCAAGGTAGGTGTGAGGTGACGCGGGGGGCGACCAAGAGGAACAATCGCTGGTTCTGCCGCCGCTTCATCTGCTGCTGCTACTTCCTCTTCCCCCCTTTGGTCCTCGCGGGTAGCTCCCTAACCTTCTCCTGAAGTGCCCCAGCCGCTTGTCTCGCCGCCTTGGACGACGCCCCAACCACCGACGTTTTCGCCTGTTGTTGTGCCCCATCCGCCGGTTGCTTCGCCCCAACCGCCAGTGTCGCTTGTTCCCCAGCCGCTAGCGCTCCCCCACCCCCCTTCATTGGAGGCGCTTTCTTCGTCGTTCTCCCAAGCGAGTGTGCCGCGCGATTCAACGAGTCTCTTCTAGCGGAGTTCTTCGGCCTCTCGTTGTGCCAACGCCTCTTCTTCTGTCGGCGAGAGTTTCTTCTTCGAATCGCGCCGGTGAGAGTATATCTCTCTTGCCTTTTCCGCTGTGTAGGGGCGTGGATTGCCATGCGCATCGAAGGTCCCGACTCCGACGCCGCGGAGCATTCCTTGGAGATGCTGAGACGCAGGTCCAGGAAGGGGATGTTCCGGAGTGCCGAACACGACCCGTGTGGCTGTTTCTAGCTCCAGTTGGGATAGTCCCTCCTCAGGCGGTGTGTCGCGCTATGCTTCGAGGATGGCAGCGAGGCCGCGGCCGGCGATCGCGCTCGTCGAGGATGTGGGCGTGTGGCAGTCCCGGCAAATGCCGTCTGGATCGGGGTTGTGGAGCGCCAGTTCGCGTGGGTGTGGGTGATGTGGCACCCAGGGGCGGCCATCAGGGTGCTTCCAATCGCGGCGAATGATATATTCGAAGCGCAGGGGGACAAGGTCAATCAACTCCTGCGAGTCGCCACTGCAGTCGGGTATGTCGAAGTCGAGAACGTACACTTTGTTCTCGGCGTGCGCTCGTCCGATCTACTTGCACTGTTTGTTCGGCATCGTGAAGTGAAGCAGGATGTCGTGCGTCTCGGGGTCGGTGCTAAGGATGACTCCGCAATCCAGGAGTTGCGCCGCCGAGAGCAAGTTGAAGCGCAGGTTCTGCACAATCAACACATCGTTCAGGGTGATGTGAGTTCTGCTCCCATGTGCCTTGAGCACCACAATGCCTTGTGCGCTTGCGCGCAGCCGCGTATTGTTCGCCACAATTACATAGGTGACGGCAGGGGTGGGGATGGCGTTGGATATGTAACGCTCAGAGCCCACCATGTGCTGCCCACAGCAGCTGTCCAGGCACCACGTGTTGTAGTGCCTGTTGTCGTTTCGCGCGAGCAGCGCCAGTCGCGGAGTGACGATGTGTGGAGTGTCGACCTTGAGAAATTGTTCGCACGCGATCCAATCGATCGGTGCCGGCCGCATGTCAGGCGCGTGCGGGGGGCTCTCAAGCAGCGGGACTGGTAAATTCGAGTCTTGGTTGTCATCGTTGTTGTAATCGTGATGTGTGCTGAACGGATTGTTGTTTGAGAACGCTTCGATTGGGTCAGGCGCCGGCTCAGGTGATGGTGAGCGTGTACGAGGGCGACGAGATCCGCTCGTCATGGTCATGTTCCCCATGACATTACGGACAGGGGTGGCCGGTGATGGCTGCTGCTGCTGCTGAACTGTTAGGTTCAGGCTGCGCGATGGGGGTTGATACCCCTGGGCGGGACGCGTGTCGTTCCTTGCGTCTTGTCGGCCAGACCAGTTGCTGGGATTGGTCTGGCGAGGGCGAGATCGAAGCTTGCATCGATCCACCGAGTGCTCGAAGTTCCTACAGATTTTGCAGTAAAGGCGTCGCGGTCGTCGCTCTTCTATGTTGTCGACGAAGAAGGCGAGGCGGTCCTTATCTCGTCGCGGCACTGGTCGCTGCTGGTCCATATCCCTTTGTTCGACGAGAAGGGCGGCGCAAAGGGCGGCCTCCGAGATGACCTCCTGCTGTCGGAGAAGCGCCTTGCAGGGCCGCCCCTCTGGGCCGAGCCCTAGGAGCACGATATTCACGAAGATCTCCTCAGAGATAGAGCTCCCCAATTTCGCTATTTGATCGCGTAAGCTTCAACAGCGATTCAGGTAGTTGTTGGCCTTCTCTCCTGGTGCCATCTTTGTCTCCAGTAGCTGCTGGAGTAGGCGGCTCGACGACACTGGGTCCTTGGGTTGGTACACGCCGTTCAGGTGGCGCCAGGCGTTGAGGGCTGGAGCAGGGGAGGTCTTGTATGAGCGAATGCTCAATTGCTCCGTCGGCGACATGTTCTGCAGAAGAACCCCATGCGCCATCAGGGACTCGTTGTAGTACTTGGTTTTTGTGTCGTCAGTATCATCCGTAGGTCCCGAGTAACTCCCGTCGAAATAGTGATAAATCTGCGCGTTTTGCAGTAGCAGCTCCAGCTCGAAGCTCCAGGTATAGAAGTCTCTGCCGTCAAAGCACACACTTGTCTTTATTTTTTATATGCTCAAAAACCTTGATTGCGCAGAGAGAATTGCTTCATCGCTGGGACAGGGAGTCTTGGGGGTTGAGCCGTTCGTATCGAGAGAGAGGACTTGCGGGGCGGAGTTCTGGCCGTTTGAGGCCGGTTGAGTGGGTTGGGAAGAAGTTCCCGCATCGCCATTCCGCAATGTTTGGAGCCCTTGCTCCAGACTTGTGAGTCGCTGAAGCAGTTGTGCGAGGACGACGGAAGGAATCGTCGTCGTTTCCTCACTTGTCGCAGCCAGGTTGGGTTGCGCTTCAGCCGTCAGATTCGTCTGACCTCCAGATCCTCTGGCCATTCTTACACGCGATCGTGTGCCGGACGCCACTTTCCGAACGTCGTAGATTTCGGAGATGGCAGTGCGAAGGATTCCTTAGTCGCTCTCATACCATGCTGCGATCAGAAAGTGATCGCTCTCAGGATCACCTCAGGAAGGTTCGCAAAGTTCTAGTCCAGTGGTGGTGGGCCCTTGATCTCAAATAGCAGAGTGAATGTAAATGCTTGAGATAATAAAAACATGCAGTACAAGAAATATAAATAAGAGTCCTAACTAGCCATGTACTCTAATGGGTACCTTCCCTTATTGCAGTGAAATCCAACCGTGCGACTCCGTGTGGTTACGTAACTGTTCGGGCAGAATCCTCGTCACTGCTGCTGCCTGATGCTGTCTGCCCGACAGTCCAGATGCTCTTCGTAACCGTGTGACTCTTCGTGTCACTTGCGCCCTTTCATCTTCATTCTCGGTTGTGTGTGCTTCGGTTGCTGCGGAGAGGAGTGTACAGTAGTGCTTCAGGTGATCACTATTCGTAACATAGGGGAGGTTGTAAATGAAAAAGGCAGGGAAGTTAACTCAAGGGTCCATTCAAGCATCAAGAAGGCGGTGTACCATTCTGCACTGCATGGCACCCATCGTACATTGCAATAATTTCCACTGCACCGTATCTTATCATTTGAGACATGAGGCTATCGTGACATGCCCCCTGAAAGTGCCCTAAAGTGTGATTACAGCTACTGACAGTACAATAAGGCTAGTAATTGCTTGCGAAACCATTATTACACTGCAGACCTTGTGACGTGACAACGTGGCTCATGAAATGAGATAATTACACTGCAATAAAGAGTTGTTGAAGCTGCTATGGTTAGTCTCCTCAGCTTGACAGTGGTTAGCATTATACTAGTAGTAGTACGTACTGTACACCTCTCGCCGCAAGGTCGCAGCACAAATTGCGCTTGCGCCTTGGGAAAATAGGCAGAACGGAATGTCCTCCGCTGTAAGCTCCCTTCTTGATGCTAAAAACTTGTGCGCGCGCGCTTTCCGCCGAAACACTAGCAAGCGACCAAGCGCTCCTCCCAGCACCACATCCCCAAACCCGCCACATCCCACTGCGCAGCTTCCCGCTCCTCCACTTCAAGCTTCTCCCCAATCTCCGCCTCGTCCGCAAAGCACTGCGCGTGCAGCACAGCATCCGCGCGAAGGTCATCCAACGGCCCCTCAGCTTCCGCCGAACCCTCCCCTTCCGCCACCACGCTCCGCCCAGTAAATGAGTCCCCGCAAAGCTCCGCCTGCAGCAGAGCGCCGATGTCCTCCGCGCCGAGCGTTTCCGACCATAAGCAGGCACCAGCTCGGCTCACATAACTCGGAGGAACCACGGTAGCTAAAGACTGCGCATCTTCCGAGGAAAAAATATCTTCACCGCAAGCAAACTCCCTCGAAAGCGTGCAGTCAGTCTCCTCCAGGCCTCCGCCAATCCTACTGCCGCGCGGGTGATTGCCTGCAGCGGCGGAGCACGCAGAGTCCGCGGGGGAAGCTGAAGCTGGCGGACAACCGTCCACCTCTCCTTCGCCCTCGTGTTCTTCCCCGAGCGCCTCGAGCACCCACCAAGGGAGGCTTGACGAGGGTGAGATGGCATTAGGCGCGCCGCGGCAATCCGCGCTCGTTGCGCTGAACGCTTCCGCCTTTCCGCGGACTCTCCGCTCCAGTGGCCCATCCGCAGCCCTCTTCGTTCCGCGCACGTTGGATTGCGTCGATTCTTCACACGGTTTTCCCGCGAAGCGCTGCGCTTCGGCGGGAATGTCGCTGAACATATCTGACTCGTCGAAGTTCGAACCGCTGCCCTCCTGCATTTCCACGCCGGCCGCGCTGCAGGCGCCGCTGTAGTCGCAGTCGAGAGGAAGAGGTTGGCAGCAGTCGGCAGCGCCGGCTCCGAGCAAAACGGACGGACGAGAAAGGTCGAAGGCTTCCGCGGCGGCAGTGGGCGTTACGACGAAAAGCGACGCACGGCTCGCGATGCGACCCAGCGACGACGTCGCAGATGCGGAGGGGGACGCTGGAGGCGCAACGGGGGTGCGAGTGGAGTAGCCGAGAGCTGGCGCCATTTGTTCTAGACGAGCGGATTCCACAAAGACGTGTCTCGGAAGGCGCGTCGATGAGATGGCTTGGACGGTGATGCTGTTATCAGCAGAATACGTCAATCTGCAAGGCTTGCTAAAATGCCTAGGCAGACGGTTGAGTGGCGGAGTCGCAGCCTCCATTCTACTTAAAAGTGGGACCTACCTACGTAATCTATTACTCCCTACTGTAAGTTATTGCCCCCACAGTGGAGAACAAGTCTAGAGACCACTGGGCAAGATCTTGGAAGCGATGGTGCGGTAGGAACTTAGACAGGGGTGGTGGTGAGGGCTGAGCGATTTGGGGACACTGTGGGAGGGAGGATGAGTTGCAGCAAAGGTTGCAGGCCAAGTGCGTGTGGGGGGGCAGAGCAGAACGGAAAGAGCAAGTGGGAGTTTGGGGAAATCAATCTCGTGACTGAATGGCAAGCTTCGCGCGTCGAATTTGCTGCCAATGGCAGCTTGAATCAGCTTGGAGAGGATCTTGAACCTGACGAAAAAGCGCACCGCCATGCAGAATTGGCGGAGGATTCGGCCCAGCCGCGCGCAAGCCGGTGTAGTTGGCGGGGTGCGGTGAAAATGGGGTGCGCGCCCCGGAAGCGCGCACCGTGCATCGAAGGGGGGAGCACGACTTTGGTGAAAGCACCCGGTGGGGTTTGGGTGCTCCGACTTTGAACACGTCTGCGGAAGATTTTGGACAGAGAGGACTTTCGCGGAACACCAGGTTGGCGAAATGCGGACCTCCAGCAGCTTGGCGGAAAACCTGGAAGTTGGCTGGTTGAGAGTTGAACGACCCGAGGCGCGGAAGCATGAGGGATCCACGTCATTACACCTCATATCGGCTCCAAGTCCCGATGTGAGGACCAAACTCCGTTTCTCCAACGTGGAAAGGGGCACACGGGTCACGGGTATGGTGCCAGGATCTCAACAAACTCGGGCAAAACGGTAGGTACTTCATCTCAATACTGGAAAATTCAAAGGCATATTGTTGTCCAAGATTCAAAACTGTACATGTACGGTACCAACTCTAAGTTCACGCAAACTGGGTGAGGAGTGGGAGATTTGGTGTGGGTGTTTTGAGATTATGTGCTCTTTACAAACCAAGTCAATAGCGAACAAACAAATGCCCCTCAAATCAACAGTCAGGAGGGAGAGTTTTGATATGAAAAAGCAACGCGATTCTCTTTCTGCCCCATCCCTATCATCGAGTATGTTTATCGTAGCGTACAGCACCATCCAAACATAGAAGTTTTCCCAACTGGTTATTCTTCGTACCGAAAAAATACCTCACAGGCTACTGCATCTCACATATCTACCGGCTGCCTACTCCAAGGCACTTACGACTGCCTGATGCGTTTTCGTACATTTTCCCTTTAAGTGTACTTTTCCAAATCAAACTCCAAGATCCTTCCTTCTCAAACGGGGGACGATGTGGAATAACCTTCATAACAGACGCTTTCTTGAAATGCAACCTTGTATTCCAAGGTGGACGGACCCCGATGCGGAGAGAGTCCGTTGGCGAGATGACGCGCGTTGGCGGAAATCGCGTTTTGTTTAATTGCGTCAAGCTGAATCACCCCGAGCTCGCCACGTGGGCATTTTTCTCAATTGGTTGGACCGCCTTTCCCCACCCCCCCCCCCCCCCCCCCCCCCCCCCCATCCCGATTTTCCCGTCCTTCCCGTCCTAAGTATGGGCACCCGCTGGAATTTCGTGGATACACAAACAGTCACAAATAGATGTTTTTTTCGTAACGCTAAGATTTCAGCATGCGAGCGACATCTGCATGGACAGAACACTGGTGAATTGATTCGCGCAGCGAAATGATACGCAAGCATTGCGTTTCGTTTCTTCAATGTTGAATGAAGTGCACTATTATTAATAAGGGTTTTATCAACTGTATGCCACTGCATTAATATTTGTAATCGCAGAGATAGTATTTCTATTCTGAATAATACAAATGATTGCATTAAAACAAAATCTCAAAATCATTTCAAAACAGCTAGTTTTAATTTGCCTAGAAGAGACAACCATTATATTCAAATTTAGACGTTTCATGGGGAAAGGCTAATATAAATATATTCACTTATAGTTTATTTGTCATGTTTTTTCTGCGCGCATGGGCTAATACCTAAAAAACACGATACAATCAACGTGCATAGGAGCATCTTCAAGTTGAGATGCAGCCGCCGAAATTTTCAAAAGTCGATTGCGAAAGCTGATGTGGCTTGCCACAACTACCTGGAGGAGTTGGCATGATGTGGAAAGCATGTATTCGTGAGTGTCAGTGATTCCACGAGATTCCAAGCGGTTGCCCGAATTTCGGACTGGAAGGGCGGAAAATTCGGTTTGGGGGGACGCGCGCAAAAGCAGTCCATCTAATTGAGAGAAACGCCGACGTGGAAACATCGCGTTGATTTAGGTTAATGCAATTAAGAGAGACGCTTTTTCCGCCGATGTACGTCATTTCGCCGGGTCCGTTTGTCCCTCCTGACGTGAGCCGCGATGCCTGCATACTGCCCTCCAGACCTGCCCACACTGCCCCATTACAGGTGATTTATGTCAGTTCCCGCGAACAAGACGATTTCGCGGTCAGATTCTGCCAACACTTGACAAAAAGTAGCTGCGTGAATACTCAGGCATCACGTGAATCCAGCTGACAACCAATGAGGTTTATGCTTCCACGTACCACTCCGGATTTCCAGCATGTCAATAATGTCTTGTTCACCAGCCCAGCATCAATCAGCATAAGGCAAAACGAAATCCAATCAAAACCGACGCTGCAGCACGAATGCAGTGTCGTAGGGTAATTTTCCTTGTTAGGAATCTCGTCCACTGATTGATCATAGCTGCACTTCATGTACATCTCTACACAATCAAGACACATGGCCTTAAAATACAGTGTACGGACTTTTTTGGCATTCCACACTGCGCAGCTCAACATCGCGTACAAGGCCAACCGTTCTTCACCCGTTACACCTAACGGAGCTTTCGCCGCCTTCGCCTTCGCATGATGCATTTTTCAAACCTTGCATCGCTTGCCTAACCCGAGTCAGTCTACGTTTTGGGGTTAGCATGAACCTCCACATCGCACTAACATCGCACTAACTTGTTGTTTCGCTTATAAATATTGGCTCATATTTTGTACTCGTTGACAATTTAGAGCAATCCTTGCTAACTCGCTACATTGCACTCGTAGCACTTGGACCATTTTCCTTTTCGGGCCGCACTTTTCCGCAACCAGTAGAAACCCCTTAGCGTACTATGAGAACGTGTCATCGTGCTCTCTAACGAGCGCGTGCAGCCACTACTATGCTACGAGCCCATTGATTTTTCACTCCAATGGACTCACGCCCTGTAGCGTAGCATGAGCATATGTCATCGTGCTATCTCGTATGCGACGACGTTCGCGACGACCACGGGATGACACACACCCGGGACGACAAAGCGGCAGGGAGTCAACGTCGCTCAATCTTTCGACGCCCATCGATGAGTCCGCACTCCCTTCACCAATGTCGCCCAAGCCGTATCGTCTGCCTTGATTCGATCCGAGTCAAAGGGGTGGTATGACGGTTCAGGCGTGAATCTTCACGATGAATGTTTACTTCGACGCGAACTACTTCTTATCGGATGCAGCGAAAATCCGCTGCGCCGTGTCTTTATTGCGAGGGACCCACCATGGATTGGTGGCGCGTCATCCTCACAAAGCTGAGCAACTACGAGGCACTACCGTCACGGGAAGGACCAACCGGAATCTGGACACTATCGTATTTCGTTGGTTCAGTATCGCACGTGAGACGCATGGTTCCCAGGTCTACCAGCAATGTTCGAGCCAATCGCTGGTGTCAATCTCTGCACGACATAACCCCTGCACTTTGTACCAGCTCGGTTCCATCCAGGACTACACCAACGGGTTCCGGCGCTGTAGAGGAGGTGTGGTACATGCATAAAGCTGAGCGCATCGACCGTTATGTCGGCGGCCTGAAAATGGACATCCCGCAGGAAATCGTGCTCCGCAACGTTATAGAATTTACCGACATACTCGCCATGGCGGAAAAAACTAGATTTCCTCCGCCGCCCAAGACCGATGTCTCCTACAATAACAGCGAGTAGGGACACTGATTTCGTGGGGCGAACGGGCATACCACAACGACCGAGTCATCGTGCCGAAGACACCAAGGCAGGCCCTAACAGGACCTGACAACGAGGAATGGCGGGCAGCTATTGAAGCGGAAATACCCGCGATACATGGGTCCTTGTGGATCGAGCTGCAGTAGGGAAGAAAAGCACAACCACGGAAGTGGGTTTTCCACGTCAAAAACAATTTGGGCAGTGCGCGGCTACGACCAATGCCAGGGGATTGATTTTGATCAAACATTCGCCCCCACGCATTAATTGACATTGTAATCTACATGGAGCAGCCGCACACATATGGCGAATGGGACTTAAAAGGTTTGTCAGCTGAAAAAAATCATTGTATGGCATTAAGTAGGCGCCCCGAAGGTGATAGCCACACCTTCACTCAGTTGCCGCATGTCCCTAAAATGTGATGTTAACGGGAATGGAGTGTTGCCCCGCCATTGCTTGGGCGACACTGACGTCCTGGTCGGTTGAACGAGAGAAGCAACCGACCGTTCTTAGTGAAGGAGCTGCTCGACGGCTTCGCCAAGCTGCAGGTGATCACTATGGTGTTGTCGTTGACCAGGGAGCTCGACGACCTTCTTCAGTGGGGCAAGACAACTATGTGGTTGTTGACCTACACAGGTGTGTCACGGGGCTGGAGCCGTCGACCACGGAGCTCGACAGCTGCAGCTGATTGGGCTGGTCGATGGGTGGACTTTCGACCAGGAGGAGCAGTTGGACGGGGAGGCCGACGTGTTAAATTTAGAAGAAAGAGGAGGGTTGCACTAGCAAGAATGAGGATACAATAGCAAACCTTAGAAGGTTGTACTCGCTATAGAGCACCCCACTACAGGCTAGAGCATAATATTCTGACACACCCCCATAGCCAAAGTGGGGTGTAATCAGCAGAGCAAGCAAAGCAGTACAAGCTCAGGGTGGATCACAATGTCACCACACATTCTGAGCACAAGTTCAAGAAGCAATAGTTTAAAGTTCACAATTATGAGCAAAGCTAGTGGTAGTCACAACGGGCAAGTGAGGAGGAGGAAAGAGACTATGAGAGGAGAGGAGGTAGTGAGCGGCAGCTGAAGCTGCTGGCACACGGCGCAATTGGAGCAACTGGCACACGGGCAATTGGAGCAACTGGCACACTAGCAACTGGATCAACTGGCACACGGGCTACTGGAGTAACTGGCTCCGCGGCTAAAAGTAGCGGCAGACGAGCAACGGACTCACGGGCGACTGGAGCAACGAGCTCACGGCCGACTGGCGCAACGGGCTCACGGGCGACTGGCGCAACGGGCTCACGGCGACTGGAGCTGCTGGCTTCACGGCGGCCACCCCCTTCAACCACCCCAAGCTATCCCACTCCCCTTACACACACCCCGCTGCTACCCCCGCTAGCTCCACTCCCCCTCACCCCCCCTTAGTACCACTCCAACGGCTCCAACAAGTCCACCCCCCCTCAACGGCAGCTGCAGCACAAGGAGACGGAGGAGGAGGAGGAGAAGGGAACAGCACACAGTGGCTTCACCCCCATACCCCTCACCCCCCAAACCCTAATTCAGGAGAACGGGCTGTAGGAGGGGTGGGGCGCCAGTAGAAGCACGGGGACAGCGGGGAGGGCAGGGGCAGCAAGGAAGGGCAGCCCACGGGCCTGGCACAGCCGCCCGAACCGCGCGCAGGCGGCC